AACTCACTTGTTTCGTCAAATTCTTCCGCTCCAGATTTGACGTCGGAGGAGCGTTGAGTTGGGTTCGCTCCTGGTGCCCACTGAAATCATTATGGAATTTCATTTTGATATCAGTTAATGATAAAACTAGTTATGCGGTTAAAAATATCCTATATTTCATTTCAGTATTATTTCTTTTCTTTTCCAATTATCATTCAAAAATGAATGAACTAAACTCACCGGCTTGCACTGCCCGGTCATCACGGGGGCGAAGTAGTCCCCTACGTGCACCATCTCGAGCAGCGCGCCATCAGCGCCAAGCACAGAGGATGTGCTAGGCCCAAAAACAGTTCTCCTGCGGCTTTCCGCGTCATGTAAAATGACGCGGACTGATGCCGCATGGCACGCTGCCTCGAGGTGCATACGGCAGTGAGGGCCATTCCGGACTGACTCAACTGCAAGATAAAATTTCTAAAAATTGCTGGCTACACAGAAAAAGTTTAAATTTGAAATAAGTGAACCAAAACAAACGCACGAAAAAAGCTTACTGTAAAATTTGAGGCCACGTTCCGGGTTGTCATACACGCTAAGGGATTCCCAACAATCCCTTAGCGTGTTCGTGGCCATAGTCCGGAGCGTGTCGGCGTCCAGGCCCAATAAATCGGCGAGGGCATCAAATAAAGTGATGCCCTCGCGCAGAACTGGGTTTACTCCCAGTCCTGCAGCCGAGCAGTATGCTCGGATCTTTTCTGAAACTCAAACTTTATTAAACTTCGAGTTATCACAGCACTGAAAGCTTTTAAAAATGTCATCATGACAATCATTCATCATAAAATAGTCACATATAATTAAAAATAATCATTTAAATCTTACCAGCAAGTACGCTGAAGACAGCGCATATAGACATCGCCTCACAAAACATATCGTGAGCTATCTGAAAATTTTTTATATTACAACAAAAACCAGTAAAATAAGCTAATAAGTTATGACTTATAACTTAGCAAACCGAAATTTCTATAATCTGGCCTTCCATCAAAACAAAATTGGTAAGTCGACCCATTCTAGAAGTTGCCATATTCCTTTCTGGCAATTTGAAACTATCAATGGCAAAAGACAAGTAGATCAGAAACTTTTCCCGACGCATATGCTCTAAATGAT